ATCAAGTCTCATTCTTCCTTTCAGTTCTTAAATAAGAAGAAAGTATCTGACCAAATAATTTCTCTATTTCCTTCATTGTTTCTCCAATGATAAATATATTAATTGCAGATTCCTTAGCCTGAGCTTTATGGCCCTCACTGTATTACTCATCCTTCCCTTCCTCTGTTTGCTTTTGTATCCCCTCTGGCTTATCCAAACTAGATTATTTTCAATGCCTTACTATTCCCTCCATTAATTATACTCTGAAAACTTGCTCACTCTGTTCTTCTCTTAGATGATTTTTTCTTTTCCCATATGCCTCCTTTCATCTCTGCTAATGTTTCAAAAAATCTTACCCATCTTTGTTCAAGGCCACATCACATGCTTCCTTCTCTGTGAAACATGATTTCTTCAGACCAGATGTGATTTATTTACTTCTTTCTCTTTATGATTTTATTTGCCTGTTACATTATGTTATACTGTGTATACATGTCTTTTCTAACCCTTAGATGCATTCTCCTTGTAAATCTCTTTTGATGCAAGAATACTGCCTGCCCCCTAATTAGCTAACACTTGATCAATGTTGTTTGAATCAATAAAATTTTGAAACTGGCTTTTATTATTACTGTGGCTGATAATAACAATGACAGCTACCATTTATATCCTGCTGCCTAAATGTAAAGCCTTTCATTCATTATTTCTTTTACTTAATAGAGCAACCCTATGAGGTAGAAAAACTATTGTTATCCTCATTTTACAGGGAAAGAAATTGACTCTGAGAGAGGTTAAGTAACATTTCAGGGTCCTGTTATCTAGAAAGAGGCAGAACCAGGGTTGAATCCAGGTCTCTTTGATTCTAGTGCATGTACTCTTAATTGCTACAGTTTATTATTTTATTATTATAAGAAATATTAATACTTTTAAGGTATCTAGATAGAGAAGTTTTATTTTTAGTGCTGACTTTCTATAAAGTGTTTCCCGTCCCCCAATTATATGCAAGGTATAAATACTAAAACAACAACAAAAACTGCCCAAATTTTACTAGTGCTTAGTATTTTCTTTAAAATTAGTGACCTTAGATTGCTAATAACTTATTGTACTAATGCTTTCATTACTCAGAATATTTTTGGTAACTTTTAAATTGCAATGTCACAGTCAGATCACTAGCTACTGAAGAGATTCAGTTTTATTCTTTCATGGTTATTACTTAGTTTTGTGGCTAAATTCACATATTGAACTTATTATTTTTTGGCTAAATTCACATATTGAACAAAATATTACCTAGTTGGTGTTATCTACCTTATTCCTCAAATTGACTCTGTGTGAGTTTACATATTTCTCAGATTCCAGTCCTTTTAAAAATAATTGACAGTTTGCCATAATCAAAGCTGTTCAAAAATAATATGCTTTGAATGTTTCCTAAGGTAATTTTTTTGAAAAGAACTTATTTTAAACTATTTAAAACTTTAAAACTTCAAATAATTTTAAGTGTACAGAGAAGTTGCCAGAACAACACATGGAGTGCCCATATCCCTTTTGCCCAATTATTAACATTTAGCTACATTTGCTTCATCATCCACTCTCTATATGTATACTCATTAATGTTAATTTTTTCTGAACATTTGAGCAAATTGTAGACATTTATGCTCTTTCACCCTTACATATTCAACTGTGTATTTTCCATATACTCTTCCATATAACCTGCATACAGACCCTCCAAATCATTCCTTCAGTCCATAAACACCATCACGTTTCATCAGTTGCCTCAACAATATCTTAGTTTTCTGTTTCTGGTTCAGAATCCTATCTAGGAATACATATTGCATTTATTTGATTTATATCTTCAGTGCCTTCAAACTGGAATAGTTACGCTGTCTAACTCTTGTATTCGCCTTTGTGCAGAAGAGTTAACATATCAGGCCTGTTATCTCTTGAAAGACTTTTTTACAAGGTTGGCCCTTGCGTACCATCAGGAGTTTTGGTTTGGAAGAACTCTCACCACCACCGTAACTGTTAAGAGTGACTCACTGTGCCTAAACTGTTTGTACAAATAATATGTCTTATGCTTTTCTTTGGAGGGTCTGGAATTTTGGTGTGTACCATGCAGAAGGTCCCTGCTTGACTATCTCTCCGTAAAAAACCTGGACACAGAGTCTCTAATGAGCTTCTCTCATAGACCATATGTAGCATGTGTTACCACAATTCAATCCTGGGGGAATTAAGTGTGGCTTACTGGGAAAAGACTCTTCTTGGAAGTTTGTGCCTCCTTCCCTTCAGACTTTGCCCCATTGCCATTTCCTTTTGCTGATTTTGATTTGTGTTCTTCCACTGTAACAAGTCATAGCTGCAAGTACAACTACATGATGAATTCTCTAAGTCCTCCACCTGAAGATGGTCTTGGGGGCCCCAACTCAGTCTGTCTGATGTTTCCTTATGACTACATTCAGGCCGTGCATTCTTGGCTGGAACACCACAGAAAAGGTTTTTTTCACAGTGGATCATATCAGGAGGCACACAACATCAATCAATCACTGGAGATGTTAACCCAGATTATCTTATCATGTTAGTGTCTATAAGGTTTCTTTACCTCAAACTGCTTGAAATTCCCCTTTGTAATTGACTTGTACTTTATGGGGAAGGTGCTGATATTACACCAATATCCTGTACCTATGAATTAGGGGTAATTACTGCCCATAAGAATTCTGCTTTGATCACTTTGGCACAGAAGCCTTATCTACATAGCTATCATAGGGAGAATGTACCTGATATGTCAAAAATTGTTGTTATATAGGCACAGGATCTATATAAAGATATGACAAAAATGAAAAATGATCTCCTTTCTATTCTCCTTTTTTCCTTCCTTTTCCCTCTCCCTTTCAACTTCATTTCTTCCTTTTTTCTTTGCTTTCTTCTTCCTTCCACCTATTCCTCTATCCTTCCTTTTTTTTATTTCAAGTCTTAATTTTTGCCTGTTGTTAGTGCTAAGGAGATGCAGTTGTCATAGATTGCCATCTTTACCAGCAGATGCTCAGGAGCGTACCAAGGAGAGGCATTTGTCAATAGCTTAGCAATGGCCCCTTACAAAGTGGTGGCTTATAGGAATTTGTGCTCAGTTACTATTTGTTATTATTATTATTAATATTATTAGAACTAGAAATAATATTATTAGACATTACAATAAATGAATATTTTGGAGTTTGCAGTTTTTAAGTTCATTTGATGACAAATGAATTTCAATGTCAAAGGTAGAATAAAAAATCACTAAGGGCAAAATAGAGTTATGAAGTCATCTTAAGTATAAATATGACAAAAGAAAGGATCAGGGAATCAAATCTAGAGGTATAAGCAATATACTTCTGTTTTTCAAAAAGCATTAGGGTATTGAAAGTTGGCATTAAAACTTCAGGATATAGAAGCGATATTTTTATTTACTATGTCTGCTTTTGATTTTTGCACTTAAAATGATAATGTAACACCTGAAAATCAAAGAAATGGAAAACGTGATTGTGAGGGAAAGGCAAAAATGTTCAGGTTTCTTAACATAAGGGAGAAAACATAGATTGAGTCCCTTTCTGTAAATGAAGAGTAGTGATGTTAGTTGTGTTTGTGTAACAAACTCCATAAGCATTCTTGTTGTACTGTTTTTACTCAAAGTCCTGCCATTTATGGTCTCTATCTCCCAAGAGAATAAACAAGGAGAGACTTAGGTCACACTCGGGACTTTAGTTTTGTATTGGGTAGAATCTCTGTGAAAGTGACTAAACAGTGGAACAGGATGTCACGAAGTGTTGTGGCATCTCACTTTGGAGACCTTCAAAGTAGATCAGTCAGTCAGTCATCTTTATTGCCCAGGGTTGGCAATAAGGTATACTGTCAGAATGTTTATTCAGTTGTATCCTGTTTAGATTTATTTAGGTGTAAGTAGCTATGATTAAATAGAAAGCATCCTTACTCATCTCAAGATAATTTTTTAAAAAATATCCTGCAATATTTTTCTATTATATTTCCTTCCATCCTCTTTGCTCGAGTTACTGACATATTATTTTCTCAGTCAAAATTCTGGAACAAGTTTAGAGAAACACACTTGACTCAAGGAGAGAAATTCACTGCCTGAAGTAACCTTTCAGAAGCTAAACAATGAATACCTGTTCAGTTTAAAGATCTTTTTTTTTTGGAGTTTCAGCTGTATGCTTATTCCTTATTTTAAAATTAGGTTGCAGTTGTTTGTGTAACTAACTCCATAAGCATTTTTGTTGTACTGCTTTTAATTACTCATTTACAAGTCTACCTTATCTACTAGTCTGTTTTTCTTGAGAATATGGAAAATGTCTCTCATCCCTTATTCAAGAAGAGTATTCCTTGACACAGTATTTCTCATATGGTAGGGACACACTAAATGTTTATTATGCCAGAGGATAGCATTCTGTTAATACCGAAATACTAGGCTCATCTTTATTTGGGTTGCCAGCTTTACTTAAAGGCATGTTTATGTTTAGCTCCTCAACCGAATACATGCAAATACTGAATCATGCTCTGCTTCATTTATCTTACTTTGGAGTTTCTGTGTCATTCTCTGTCCTTAACCCAATATTTGAAGTCCTAAGTTAACAAAATTTTATTGCATAAGGCAAAAATTTTAAGAAAAACAACCGTAAAGATTAAAGATAGTCAACATAGAAGTGAGTAGTAAGCTAGGTTTTCTGCAGTGACAATATATGATATTCTAAAATACATAAAAGATATATTCTAAAATATAACTGTGAAGAAAATAAGCTCACAAAGAATGAGTTTGATGGGATTTACTTAGTTTGGATCATGATTAATATAAAATAGTCCACTAGCTATTTAAAAACACTAAATTTAAAAGCCAAATGCAAAAAGTCTTTATTTGAAGGAGCAGATAGTTCAAATATGCTCTGTATGCACATTCTTAATACACATGCATGTATAATGAAAAAATATACATAATTATATATAGGTATAGACTGATACTCTGTATGCTTTTTATCTTTTCAATATAGATATGAATATCATTGGGCAGATGGAACAAACATAAAGAAGCCTATTAAGTGCTCTGCACCAAAGTATATTGATTACCTGATGACTTGGGTTCAGGACCAGTTGGATGATGAGATGTTATTTCCATCAAAAATTGGTATAATTGTTTTGTTTAATTGGGATCCTTCATGATTTACCTAATTGTATATGTTTTTAGAGTTTATTGGCTCTATTCCAGGAACCATATACTAGATTATAACTATCAAAATATTTGTAATTTTATACATTTAAAAGTATCCTGTCTTTTTCATACCAAACTTATCATGAACATTAAGATAAACTTCCCCATAATCTTAGGCAGTGAGAAGATTGGTGTATCTTGCATGGTAACAAAATGTAGCCTATGTTATGGAAAAGAAGAGACTGGATATTGGGCGGGCAGCCGGTATCTGCCACAGTCATATCCATTTGTTTAGGAAAGGAGTTGATATGACTTATATCCAGTTTTACATTATATTTGTGGCAAAGAGGGAGTTTGAATTTACAACCCATTATTGTATTAGACATACAATAATGTCTAATTGATAGATCTTGTTCAAATTTAAAAAATTTTCCCAGTGTGAATCTTGCAGAATGTGAAGTCATACTGGGTGAGAAGAAAATAAGATTTGAAGGTTATCAACTGAATGATATGCTTCTTTCTACTTGCTCTTAAGGGCTGACCTTTAAAGTGGAAATCGTTCACATTTAAACAGTTCAGATGATCTTCTCAAACTTTCCACAACTACGTTTTTTAGAAAAAAATTAAAAATTTCTATTTTTATCAATAAATAACATTTTGACTGTATTTTATGCTTTTAGTTTTGGGGAAGGGTTTGGTGGAGAAGACAGCAATGTAGAGAGCTGATGTTGTTCTGGATTGATTTAGAAATGTTCGTTGAATGCTTTAACTGCTTTATAGCCTTTGTTGTAATAAAAGGTCTGTTTTTCAAGACTTTCATTACTTATATACATTGTCATGATTTAGATAAGTGTCCACACCTTTTCTGTTATCTCTTATAACACATTTTTTAACTTTTCATTTTGACCCAATTGTAGACTTTTAGAAAATTTACAAGAATTGTGCAAAAAATCCCTTTATATCCTTCTTCCATATTATTTGCCAACGTTTTTACCACATTCGCTTTCTCTTTATTTTTCCTTCTCCCTTTCTCCTCCCCTACCATATTCTTAGTTTTACCTGAATTTTTTGAGAGTAAGTTGCATATATGATGCCTTTCTATCCATATGTTCTTCAATGTGTATTTCCTTAGAAAATCACAGTGTAACTGTCAAAATCAGGAAATTAACACTGATACAATAATGTCTGCTTTACAGATCTTGTCCTAATTTAAAAAATTTTCCCAAAAATGTCCTTTTTTTCTCCAGTAATGTCTTTTATAGAATATCTTTGACATTTGTTTTCATTCAGTTGTCATCTCTTTAGCCTCCTTTAGTGTAGAACATATATGCTTCAATCTTTTTGGTCTTTCTTGGCACTAATATTTTTGAAGAGTATAGGCATATTATTTTTATAGTGTCCCCTCATTGTGGTTTGTCTCATGTTTCCTTATGACCTATAATATTTTTAAATGAGTGGTAGGCAATGTGAAAACATTAACCTCAGTAGTACCAGTGGTTTGCTTGTGTTTTGCCAATCTGGATCAGTTAGCCAGTATAACAAAGGATGTGGAATTCTGTATATTTCTAGTTTTGTGTTTGTTTTATGCTGTAAAAATGCTCTAATCCATAAAACATTGAGCCTAATTGAGTAGAGACTGCAGCTAATTTCAAAATAAATGTAGACCTGGAGTAGTAATGAAATTTTTCATAGAAACAGTATAAAAATATAATTGCAGGCTTTTTAAACAAAATTGAACATGGTTAATACATTCTTTGTATTCAGCAAATATTCATATTGAGACTTAGTGTTAATAAATGTGAGGATATGAGTGTGAGTTTTAGCTCCATTACCATCTTCATCAGTTTCATTTTAAATAAAATGGTGGCATAAGGGGCTATGCTGAAGACTAGTTCTTATTCCATAGAAGCTTTGAAGTTTATTTTCATTCATGATATTTTGCTGAAAATTACAGTAGATATGTTAAATAATAATTCATAAATATTTGTTTCAGCCTTGTCTTAATTTATGTTGTGATTTGCTGACAAACTCGTATTTCCTTGTTCTGGTCTCTTGTTAATAGAGGGGGGTGTTTATCTATTTATTAGGTGTCCCATTCCCAAAGAATTTCATGTCTGTGGCAAAAACTATACTCAAACGCCTCTTTCGGGTTTATGCTCATATTTATCATCAGCATTTTGACCCTGTGATCCAGCTTCAGGAGGAAGCACATCTCAATACATCTTTCAAGCACTTTATTTTTTTCGTCCAGGTAAGTTGAATTAGGATGTCTTTTTTCCTCAGCAAAGCCTCTATGTACAGAGTTCTGAGGTGACTACTACACCCATACTGTCAGGGTAAGATTTGCCATATCTCTCTGGTCTTCATCCTCTTCTGTACTTGCAATGATGATAATGACTGGTCTTTTGTTTCTGAATTCCATCCATCTCCAAGTGGGAGGCATGCAAGTCCAAAACGGATCTGAGAGGTCTCTCCTTGGCTTTGCTTTGGTCAGCAGACTGTAGTGGAGGGGCTGAATGAGGAACCTGGCTAGTTTGGCTGACCTGTAGGTTAATTTAGTCACACCTGAGCATTTTAGTACTCGTCCTACACCTCTTAACCATCAATTCCAACCTACTCTGTATCTTTTTTAGCATACTGTGGCCTGGAAATGAGCTTTGAATATCATACCTTTTTCCTTCCTTTTTAAAACCATATAAAACCATATCTGAATAATATTTGTTAAGTGCTGTCCATTATGTCCAAAGGGGGGGAAAATGTCCCCCAGAGCATTGCTGTTGCAGGCCCAACATTAGTCTTTGATCTGGATCCTTAGTTGACCTCCTCTTCTGTCTCTTGTCAGTTCTCAGAGAATTGGTTTTAGAGATGTAGACCAAGAGGAGTGAGGATATTCTCATCCTGCTACTATGATAATTAGAGAACTAATGTGCAGGAATGAAAAAGAAGTGGAAGTGGATAAAGTGACCAGCTTTTTCTCTATGGAGGTTGAGAGGGGAGATGGTAGGCAGAAATCCAAGGCTTGAAACTGTTGTTTTTTATAACTGTGCACATATATTTAAAAATGCCTTCCCTGCATTCTATCTGCACTAAAGAAAAATGTGTCTCTTTTCCCTCTATACACTCCTCACACTGAAGGCATACATTTTGGGTCTTAGTTTCACCTATATAAATACATTTTAGGAGATTAACTAGTCCAAACTCTCTCTGAGCGATTACTTTACTGTGGTGTCCCATCTATAGTATTCTATAAAAACAAAGAAAATGTTATCCTGAAGTTTTCATCTGTGCTGATTTAGACAGAACATGATTGCTAAAGTTCAGGTTTTAGCAGTTTAGGGGAGGATAAGGATATTTTCCCCCCAGAAGAGTTAGTTTTACTTTACTGTATGATCTTAAAATATGCTGTGTCTCCCAATCCTTACCAAATAGTAGGGGATTGATACATGGCATTTACCACATCTGAAAAGATTTACATCTCAAGATACTGTGACTTTAAAGGTAGGTCCATTAGTTATATAGTGTCACCCCTTGATTGAGTAAGAGGGGCCTGTGCCCTGTGCCTTACAATTGAGAGAATCCTGCTCCGGCCCTTCTCTAGCTGAACCCTTCCCCACAGAGTGAGGAATCCATGAGGCCAAGACCATACCTCCTAGATCTCTTCTGGTGTGTGCATGGGTACGAGACCTCAGAATTCACTGCCCACAAGGTCCCAAGCTTATTTCCAGGGTCTCTATGGATCATTTCCTTGGGCCTGTTCTTTCAAGGGAAGGTCATATATGATACGCATACCTCTAGACCTAAGGGCTAGCCAGATGGTAACTGTTTATGAGGGTGTGTGGACATTGCCGATATAAGCCAGGGACAGTGTCCATACTCCTGACTGCAAGGTCCTTTGAAGTGTGCAGGATGGAGGGGAGAGTTGGAAGATGAGCGAGGTTTACTAAGAGCCAGGGATTGGCACTCAGTCTCCTCAGACATCTAAGAATTCTAAATTTGCGTCTGCTTTCCTGTAATTATGAAGGTATATTTGTTAAGACAGGAGAATAGACTATGTCTTATTTGACAGCATATTAGCTTAGTGTAAAATTTACTTATTTAGTCATATGATTATGACTATATCCGGGTTCTTAGTTCAGATCCCACAAATCTTAAAAGTAGGCCTGTTATTAAAAGCCTCTTAATACTTCTCCCAAGTACTTACTGTACTGCATGGCACGTGACAGATACTAATAAGTGGAAGAAATTGGGAGCTCAGAATGCTGTTCCAGAATATCAGAAGTATAGATGTCCACTAGCCTTCTAATTTATAGTTCAGGGGAAATCTATTCAGAATTGACCTTCAGAATGACAGGGGTGGAACTTCTAAAGAAGCACAAATTAAATCCAGGCTTTGGCTTTCTTACTTGTTCTTTATAGGATTTTATTTATCATTTGTGGACTCAACATTATTCATATTATTTTCATACTACAACTCATGATACCTTGCAGATCACTAACTCTTTTACTTTTTGTGTAATGCCAAAATTTGCCTGAGATGCTAGATTTTTTGATTCCTACTTTGTTGAGTATTTCTAAATGGTGCCCAGGTTATTCATGTAACAGAAAGCAGCAACTCCTATTTACCAAGTGTTCACTTTGTGTGAGGGATTACATGAAGTAGTGAACATATGGTATCACATTTAGTTCCCACAATAATTTTATGAGGTAGAGAGATTTATCATATTATTAATGATGAAAACATAGTATCAGAAGTAGTTAATGTGATTTGTGTAGGACACAGAGCTAGGGAATAAAAAAATATTTTTTTGAAGAAAAGACGAGTTTTATTTACTTTAAAAGCTATAATTAAGAAGCATTGTTAATGAAAATCTGCTTTAGAATGAAATGTAAATGATACATTTTACTATTCTGCCTTTCTTTATCGTACATAGGAATTCAACCTTATTGATAGAAGAGAACTTGCACCACTCCAAGAACTGATTGAAAAACTTACCTCAAAAGACAGATAAAAGGATACAGAGCTGTGCAAATTGTTCCTCACATGAAGCTGTGTGGAGTGCATTTGTATTTTGTATTTTATTTTTATCTCAGTTGTTTTTGTCTTAGTTTTGGGGGACTTGTTTGGGTTCCTTTTTCTTTATCCTGAATAAATGAAACCATGTTCTGTTGCTAGAGGAAACCAAGAACCATTCTCTATACATTTGATGGGGTAAATTTTGTCTTAGTGGCATATAGTATTTTTTTTAAACTTGGTTTTGATTACCTATAAATTTTTTATATATTGTGTGTTGAAAGAAAATCCTTATTGATTGGCCTACTGATGGATGGGAGTTCTATGTTGGGTAAATTGTGGCCGAGTTTCTAAGTCCCCAAAAGACGTATGTTTTTAAGTGCCTTGGCAGGCTCACTTCTGAAGTGTGAAACACAGACATAGAACTGAGTAGGGCTTGAAACAATATTAGGATTATTACCCAGGGCACTTACTGATGCATGTTTTAATATATCTATGATAAAAGCCATACTACCTAAAGTCATGATCTCCAGCTTTTACTACACTGAAGAAACACAGTTTGTAAAGGTGTGCATTTAGTATTTCTTAATTATTTTTTATATTGATGGTAATTCTGTTCAACAAATGCTTAAAGTTCTTCAAGCAGGTCTTTTTCTATCTCTTGATATTTGTGATATTGTGATACTTTAGGATGTTAAAGTGTATTATCTATTGCATTTTGGCTTATTTCTACATGTTAACTGTGCTGTTATGTGTAAAAATTTGGGTTGTATATAGGTTTGCCGTCTTCAGAGGTGATGCTGAACTGTGAGGTTTCTTAGCAATTGCCAAATGAGCCATAAGTCTGCAGAATCCCCTTCTACTTCTGAAGAGTAGGGAATAAGAGTGTTTGTTTTCGGGGGGAGTGGTTAGTTTGTACAGGAGTTAGGGATGTAATTAAGTATGGGGAGTCATGTTCAAGAAAGTCATATCTTAAAATCTTTGAATAGAATGGCATGAAGATTTTAATCAACTTCTTTTAAACAAAGTCTTAGAGACTTCTTTTAGGAATTAACTTCCATGAGAAGTAAAAATAAATAATTAATTTTAGATATAGACATCAAACATGCAATTTAAGGACTGTTTGGGAAATAGATCACTTTCTAGCATTTCCATTCAGTGAATGGAGCTGATGTTTGCCTGTCATTTTAAAATGATGCAGTACCTTCTTTGTTTACTATAGGCCCAATGTGAAGCATGAAGCACTCTGACTTCTGATTTTTCTACTGTGAAAGTAAATCTTTTTCTTTGCATTGATAGTAGCAACAAAAGTATTAATTCACTAGTTACTTTTAATTTGCTATGACTTTCTAGTGAATTATTCTCATAAGTAAAAAATTCAGAAACTTAGCTTTCAAAGTAAATATTAAATTTTTTCACTTAAGTTTTATGCTTGACAAATATCCTTTTCAGGGTTCTAGTTTTAATTTTGTCATTTTTGGTAAAGCTGTGTCATTCAATTAGAAATAATATATTCTTCCTTCAGTTAGAAATATATATACCTTTTTGTAGAATAGAAATCTTACTCTGAAATTGTATTGACTAGAAACACTCAGTAGAAAATAATCTAAAGTGAAATCCATTTGTTTTTCCTGTTAACAAGTAGAGCATTGATACAATATAATGCCATTACAATTAGTGTCACCAGGAGCTGCCTTTTTCCCCATTTCATTTCTAGCAGTCATTCTCCAAGTACCAACAGAAGAAGGAACAGGAGAGCCTGGCAGAGGCAAATGTATTTGACATTCATTGGTAATGCTTATTTATAAACTGCAGGGGGAACTAGCCGATTTTCTAAAACAAGTATTTTAGTATCCAAAAAGGTAATGTCAGCCTCTATGGGTTGATTCAGAAGTAAAATTTGGCATCAAGTGATTTTGGGTCCTATTTATTTAGGAAAATGAGACACGTGATTACTCAGTAGTTTTCCAAAATGCATTTGACTTCATATCAACCTAGTAACAAAGGGGTTGCAATAGCCAAGTGTAGAGAGAATAGTAAAAAATTGTTCTTACTCTTTAAAATCTTATACAGTAGTACACTGTAAAAATGGAAAAGTTACTGTAAAATAATGTTTAGTAGTAGGGTCTACTTTCCCATCGTAGTATAGAAGTTTGTTGTCACTGTGCCAGAATCTCAGGTGCCTGCTTCTGAATATTCCTTTAGGAAGTAAGGAGATAATGTATGTGTATATATGGTCACAAAGTAGAGAAGTTCTCCCAGGAAGAGAGTCCTGGCATTGTACATGGTGTTACATGGCTACAAGGAAACACTCACCAAAGCCTGTGGGAAACAACTGATTTAATAATAAGTTGCTTTGATTCGATTGGTTCCCATGAGCATTAATGAGATGCCCTTTGTAAAATAAGAATCAAATCTTGGTTTTGCAGCAGAGTTTGCTTATAAATGTCTGTTGGATTCTCTTCAGGTCTCTTAATTTATAAATAAGCAATATAATGTTTTTCTCCCTTGGCTCTTTATACAGAGATACAAAGCAGAAGTTGGTTTTTGCATCTGCTGATAAAAGCATAAAATATAAGGTTGTAAGTTAATATATTATTTTGATCACAATGCTTTGGGTAAGTGAGATATGAAGTGAGTTTTAGGAATTATTTTAAATGATGGAGTAGTGGTGTTGGAGAGAAATTAGTAACAGAGTGGAAATCTTTTAGTTAGCAGGAGGTGCCGCCACTGGCTTTTATTTGCTGACTTGATTATTCTGCTGCCCATAAAAACCATGGCATCAGACTGCACTCAGACATAACCCTGTGTTAGCTAGAGAGGCTCTGGAGGTCAGTTTACCTCAAATTGAAAGATTACAGATTGTAATCTCTTCTACCTTTGTCATTCGTGAATTCTAAATGGTCAGCATAAAATGTATTAGGTAAAAGAATACGTGTTTGTTCAGTGTATAATATATCACACTGAGTTACTGCCTGGTTTATCAGTAACGATGATAAAGTACTAAAATCTCTTATATTCAGAAAATGCAGATTATGTGGATAGTTATATTTTACATGTAATCACGAGGCTCCATTTGATGTATTAGCATTTTCCTTGCTTATGGGAAAATAGCGAAATGACAGCTTTTATACCTTTATCTACACCCTCTCTGAGAGAGGTTTTGATAACCACTGAAATGGTAAAAATTGTGAGATACAATTATTAAGTTATAGAACTTTCTTTTAAATATGTCATGCCTTAAACATCCAAATGAGAGTTGATCTTCAAAGTGGTTCCTTTGGGAGCACTATGTATTCCAGCTATACTACAAAGGTGTAATGTTTTTGGAATGCTTTCAGAGATGCCTTGAGAATTGCTTTACTACTATGCAAGAAAATCTGTTTCATCATTTTGGTTGCACCAGAAATTTTTGGCAGCTTCAAATGACCTATCTCATTTTCCAAACCAACTCTACTGGTTTTTTTAGAACTAATCCATAAGGGAAATTCAAAAAGAATGTGCCATAGGCTCTGAGTTTACAGAAGAGAACGTTTTGAGCATTAGTAGCATCATTTCATAAAGGAATAGTTTCCTGATGTCACTACTTTGAAGTAGACAGTATTATCATTTGGATGTATAGGGTTTTTTAAAAATTTAATTACCTTACAGTTCAATATAACAAAAAAAAATCAGTCTTTCTCATTTTCTATATTTTGTTCCTTTCCTTGATACCTCTTGAAGCTTTCTTGACTAGGATAGTTTTGATTGAAGGCATAGTAAAAAAAAAGTGGATCCAATATGTAACAAAGAAGTAGCTTAAGGAAACAACAGCCTTTACCTCCATCCTTTTTTTTTTCTTTTTAATATATTTTTCACTCAACTGAACAGTTTGAATTTATAGACTGGAGATCACTGTACAATGAAATTGAAAGAAATTTTATATAATATGTTGAGTTTTAAGCCTACATGTCACAGATAGAATGTTTAAAATTGTGTAATCATTTCATAGATCATTTACAACTTTAGAATTTTGAATGTCTCTTTAAAAGGTATGGGACCAGTAGTATATTTGTAATTTCAAAATCTGACTATATACGAAGAGGAAAACTTATTTTGAAATTTATCTGCCATATTAAAGACTATACCAATTCTTAGAAATGCTATTCTAGATCTATACTTCAAGGACTAATCCTAAAATATCTAAATATCAGAGTTTGTCATAATGTTAAGACTCACCATAGGAATTACTGTTGCTTAGCTATCAGTTTAATGGTATATGAGATAAATATGTAGAGGTAAAGCTATGTCAAGATTTAACAGAAAAATTTAAGATATAAGAACAATTCTGACTGTAGACAATTTGAAATTTTAAGGCTTTGCTTTTGAGCTAATCATAGAGAAAAATTGATTTTGAAGGTATAAAACGCACCATGTGTGCCATTTGTAGCTAAACTGACAAATGTTGCCAGAAGAAAATACAGATTAAAATATTGAGTACTCTCAGCTTTGCAAGTGTGACACCATTTTTTTTTCTGTCTATAATTCTATACAGTAGAAAATTTTGAGTGATAGTTCTCAAAGATAGTGAAATTGCTGGTCTTTTCCAGCTGTATGTTTACTTGTCATCTCCTTCTCCTTGGAGGTAAACTTCTTCCTTATTGCTATTAACTTTCCATTATATTCCCACCCCCCACCCTGCCCCCAAAGCACTTGGACAACAGAACAGGTTGTACAGGTCCTCATTTTTAGTGGTACTTGCTTTCAGTACATATGTTTCAGCTGAACTATTGGAAAATACAATTTCATATGCTTTTTTGGTTTGTTTGACAGCTTTCTTTAAATTATTATGTCACTGAAGCTGAAAGTGATATAAATGTATAAATGATATAAATTAAAATTTTTTGTTAATTAATTTTTCTCATTAAAATACTGTATGTGAGTTTTACTGGTTTGCATGTTTTCATTTTTATTTTGTTTTTGAAATAATTATACAAGTTGTAAAATACATTAGTACATTTTCATTTTAAGAACACATAACTATTTTTAGAGGAAATAGTTTTTTATAGCCATTAAATTGTATTTGTTATTTTTGTACATGCATAATAACGGGTGGTTCAGGGCACTAATCTTGTGGGGAACACTAAACTTTTGTTTTATTTGAACTTTTCCTATACATTATTACTTAAAATTATCCAATAATAGCATCATGAAATCTAGGTGGAGAGAGAATACAATAAACATGAGAACACTTAAAGGTTGAGTAGCAATCATTTCTGAGGGCAAAAGCAGAATACTGCCAATGCGCTGTAATGGAAGCATAGGGGCAGCACTCACACTGTGCAAGCATTGCAGAAAATGTGAAAAGACAGGGATCCTGCTGTCATGGAGACAGTTTCTCTCTGTATTAAAGTAGCTGGAAGGGAAAAAATGGTCTAAAAATATGAAATGCAGTGTGGGTGCTATATTGTAAACTATGAAGATTACTCAAATTGAAGTTATTAATCAAAGTTTACTTGCTTCATTTTTATTTTAAAAGATACTGAATGTCAGAAAATCTGTAATATGTTTTAATTGAGAGATGTAAATAATGTTTATAG